TGCCAGTAGTAATGTAAAATCATACAACCACTTTGGAAATCAGTTGATTATCCTCAAAAAGTTAAAAGAGGGCTTGAGAGATGGTTCAGTGGATAAAGTGTTTGCCACAAAAGGATGAGGATCTGAGTTTTCACCCCCAGCATCTATATAAAAGCTAGGCATGACTGCATACACCTGTAACCCCAGCAAGGGGAGGTGGAGACAGGTGGGATCCTGTGTAATTATCAGCCAGCCAGTCTAGCCCAAACAGGTCCAGGTTCAGTGAAAGACCCTGTCTCAAATAGAAGGTAAAACACAATTGAGGAAAACATCCCAGTGTCAGCCTCTGGCCTTTACAAGCACCTGCATAGGTGAACACAACCACATATGCAAAGTTAAAGGTAGAATTAGTTTGTGACTCAGCAATTCCACTTTTAGGTGTATAGTCAAAGGAATTGAAAACAGGTACTCAGATGCATGTCTTCATCATGTTTACTGCAGCATTGTTCACAGTAGCCAAAAGGTAAAAAACAACCCAAGTAGCTGTCAGCAGATGGATAAACAAAATGTGATTTATGTATCTATGCAATGGACTATTATTCAACAATAAAAGTTATTGAGGGGCTGGAGAGATGGTTCAGCAGTTAAGAATGTGTTCTACTTTTTCAGAGGACCCAAGTTTGGTTCCCAGCACTCACATTGGGCAGCTTACAACCACCTGTTATTCCAGTTCCAGAGGATCTAATACCACAGACATTTACATTCGCATACATAAAACCACACATACACACATAATTAATATTAACAATTAAATATTTTTTGTTGATGTGTGTGTGTTTCATACAGAACATCCCAAACAATCTTATTCATCTTTACACCCATATCCCAAATGGCACCCTCCCATAGCCTCCTCTCCCCACTACTGGAGGCTGTATACTCTGTCATCCCTGTTACTGCCCACTGTGTTGTCAGTGCCCCCAGCCGTTCCCACTGCAAGTCCATCTGCTGAGTCTAGTTAGCCTATCTAGAGTCCCTTGTTTTAGGAAGATCAGCTCTTCTTCATCTAGCCAGCAACCAGTTGCCAACATTCCTTTAGATAAGACTGGAGATCTGCTGTTCATTTTCCCAGTTCTATGCTGGGTTACTGTCTGCCTGAGTTTGCATGGCACTTGTGTTATGCTGACACCATTGCCATAGAATCATATTAGCAGGTTCCCAGGAGCTTGTAGGATTCTGTTTCCATTTGGTCATGCACATCCTCCCTGGCTCTTACAATCTCTCTGCTCCCTCTTCTGGGATAGTCCCAGAGCCTTGAGTGGATGAAGTTTAATAAAGGGGTCCTGTCCAAGGACCATTATTTAGCACAACAAAAAACCACAGAAGCTCAAAAACCAACACTTTCTCTACTTCTTCTGGAGTGGTTGGTATGGTATTTAAAATCAGTCCTCAGTGGTCCTCTTCTTTATCCTGTTCTATGTTCCATGAGCCTTAGGTGTAGAGGTTGCACTGCAGATGTGTCCCTTAGGCCTAGGCAGTTCATAGACAATGTCCATGTGTGACCAGTTGTGGTACTTGGTATTAGTCTCTGACTGCTACAAAATGAGCTTCTTTGATAAGTGGTGACTGGGATATGTGTCTGTAAATATAAGGATACATATTTTGCAGATAGTAAGAGATCATATTAGTCTAGCGATGTGATAGTTTGGGGGTTTACTCTAAGACCTATGACCACTCCAGCCATGTGTATTAGGTTATGTTATGGTACCACACTTGAGTTTCCTCCCTTTGAGCGGGCTTTTAGTCAAATTAGGTAGCTGTTGATTACCACGAAGATAAAAGTGCCACTACTGCACCATTGGAGTATGCTGTGCTGGCCGTTGATGTGGTTATTTGGTCTTGAAGCTGGTGCTGGATCATCCACTGATGTTTTCCCTTGGCACTTTCATTGTGTTCTCCAAAGCTGTGAGAGCTCGCCTTAAAGGGAAGTGGCTTCCAAGTCAGTTGCAGCTCCATTTCTCCAAATCCTGCGTCTGACGTATGTTCTTCGGCAGTAGGGTCTTACCCTCAAGTTCTGGGAGGCCATCGAGGGCTGTGGCAATAGCCTGAGTAATTTTGGCAGTCTCTTGGACCACCCTGGCCAACAACTCAAAGGACGGTCAATTAAATCTTTTTTTAAGGTGAAGCAGGATATAGTGGGTACAGACTTGGAAGGTGGATGGTGATTGCAGGAAGATCACAAGTTTCAGGCCAGCACAGGAACCTTGTCTTAAAAAAAAATGAAGTGCCATTACATGAACCTTCTAGGTATTAGAGTAAGAGAAAGAGGCCAGACACAAAAGACCATATATTGTATGATTTCATTTCTATGAAATGTCCAGAATAGGCAGGTGTTCTAGTATACTAGCTCTCTTGCAGTGTACTCAATAAACAATTCTTTAAGGAAAAAAAAAGTCACCAGGTATGGTGGCACATACCTTTAGTCCCAGCACTCAAGAGACATAGGCAGGCAGATCTCTGTGAGTTCAAGGCCAGCCTGGTCTACATAGGGAGTTCCGGGCCAGCCGGGGATACAGGGAGACCTTATCTCAAAAAAAAAAAAAAAAAAAAAAAGTCCACAATAAATCCTTGAAAACAGAAAGAAAGTTGGTAAGTAGTTGGTTGCCAGGGTTTGGGGGAATGAATGAGTGACAGCTTATGTCGATAGGCTTTTGGGGGGTTAGGGCGATGAGGCAGATGTCCTGAAATCAGGTAGTGGTGATGAGGTGCACAACTCTGAATATATTTTTTTTAACTGCTGAATTGTATACTTAACGGAATAATGTATAGTATCTGAATCATATGTCAGTTCTTTTTTTAAAGATTTCTTTAAATTAATGTGTTTGTATGTGCTATGTGGGATTTGTGCATGTAAGTGCCTGCCAAGGCCAGAGGTATCAGATCCCCTGGAACTGGAGTTACAGATGATTACTAGCCACCATGTAGGTGCTGGGAAGCCAACATGGGTTTTCTGCAAGAGCAGCCAGTGCTCTTAGCTGCTGAACCAGCTCCTCAGTCCCACAAAGAACTTTTTGAAAACTACAAATCTAATTTCAGATTCTAAAAAAAAATAAGTGAATAAAAAGGAGCAATGTGCCCCACTTGTACTTTAAATAGGATCAGATATGAAGATCCAGAGGCCAGGCTTGTCCATTTCAGAAAGCAAGACTGCTTTCTTATCTTTACCCACAGCTTGTTCTAAACCTTTATCTAGAAAACAAAAATGGCCTTGAAAATAGTGCATCTATCACAAAGCTTAAACATGAACAGAAAACTAGTATTGGCAGACTGACTGCCTTACTACATCCGTCCAGCCTGACTTGGTGACAATCAGGTGAAGGGTAATGCAGGTCATGTCCTTATTTTACAGATGAAGGGGTGTTGTGGGGGCAAAGGCCACACAGCTAGTATATGACTGCCCAGCTAGCCACCTACCATGGTCTTCTTCATTCCTGTGATCTTGTCTTAATGAGTCCTACAGGACACCTTTGCCCTCTCTCCTCCTCTTGAAAAGAGCTGTTTGCTGTGCAAAGCCCCAAGCACTGCCTCAACAAGAGCTGGCTGTGGATACTTCTAATCTAAGAAGACTGTGTTATATATTAGAGGTTAAGAAATGTGATCAGGGGAGGGTGCTGGAGAGGTAGCTCAGTGATTAAGATTACTGGCTGCTCTTGCAGAGGACCCAGGTTCCAGTTCCCTCACCTACATGGCTGCTAACAGCCATCTGTAACTCCAGTTCTAGAGAATCTGATGCCCTCTTCTGACCTCCACAGGCATTGCATGACTCGGGTGCACTTACATACATGCAGACAATACACTCATACACACATGAACACACACACAAATGTGACAGGGAAGGCAGGTCAGTAGTTGGGGCAACAAATAGTCATGCACTGAGCCAGGTCTCCTTGGGATGGGCAGGGTAGCAAGCAGAGCAGTGCAGCATTAACAGGTGACAGAAGTGTCACCACAGCCCATCTCTACAGTGGGTCTCCAGCCAAGCCTGGCCACTCCCCAACCTAGTTATTACTCTGAATTTCTATTTCTTCATCTAGAAAATAGTCATTTGCAGTGATGCATGATATCCAGGGCCACTTACATGTGCTCGAAGTAGTGTGGGAACCTAGCATTGAATGTGAAAGAGAAAGTCTATCTCTAAGCAGTGGAGTCTGATCACTGTCAGAGAGCAATCCTAACTCTGTCCACAGCTTTTCATAACTTCTAATTTGGTGACCGTTTACTATCTTTTAATGTGACCAAGACAGACACTGAAAGAAGGGCATTGCCCTTCTTCCCACAATGGGAAGTCCCAGGAGTATAAATTGCATGTCACTGTAAGTTGTCCCATAACTGGAATGGGCCTTGGTGAGTGCTCAGGAGTCAGGGCTGCATGCTGGGCAGTCAGTCCCTGGGTACACAGGAGGGGACACCTACATATGAAAAGTGGCCCTGTGGTATTCCTCCAATGCACTGAAGGAAGCTACTGCATGTTTTCTGTCTCCTGTCTACCCACCACTGTACGGCGACCAACGTTAAGAGTGGGGCTCCTTCAAAAGGCCTTGTCGCCGGGCGTGGTGGCGTGCGCCTTTAGTCCCAGCAGAGGCAGGCAGATCACTGTGAGTTCAAGGCCAGCCTGGTCTACATGGTGAGTTCCAGGACAGCTGGGGTTACAGGGAGACCCTGTCTCAAAAAGACCAAAAAAAAAAAAAAAAACGCCTTGTAATCCCATTTTGTTTCTCTATAAGCGTGGGGGATACTGGTGGCACAGATAGGGTAAGGGGTCTAAACATGATCAAAAAGGATTTTTTTTAAAAAACAAAAAAAAAAAAAAAAAAAGGCCTTGTCATGCCATTCTGTTTCTCTATAAGAGTGTGGGATACCCTAAATCCCTTTGCTTCTTTGGGGCCTCAGAAACCTGCATACTGCTTTGTGGCCCAAGCAAGTCCCTGTAGACACCTGGCCTCATTTGTGACTTTGCCTTTCAGCTCTGTGCAGTGTGTCTAGAAGACTTCAAGCCTCGAGATGAGCTGGGAATCTGTCCATGTAAGCATGCCTTCCACAGAAAGTGAGTATTGCTATGCAGTTATTTAATGTGACCCAACTTTGGGGCACATCTGGGGCAGTGCCAGAGATTGATGGCTTCATGACTGGTCTGTAATGAAGAAAACTTACCATACCCTATGGGGTGGGGCAAATGCATGCGTACGTGATGTTAGGAAGGAACAGGGAAGTAGAACGTGATCACCAAGGCAGGCTTGGGCAGAGAGCCAACCCAACCTACATCTCTTTGGAGCCCAAACTATAAACAGATCTTTAGCTGAAACTTTCCAATAATAGTTTCCATCTTGTAAAGCTCTATTTTAATCAAAACTGTAGTTATTTTAAGTCATAATAAGTAATCTGGATATTTCTGCAAACACACTAATATCCCCTTCTCTAGCAATTTCATGGGTTTTTAAATTTATATTAGTAGTTTTTATTTTTCCTGATTCCTACCTCCCTCATCAGCATACTTTATGAGAAGCAGATGACTAGGAGTACAGCATGCTGCCTGTGGTTTCTTTGTCACCGTATGAGAGATGGAAGGTTCTGGCACCTCTGCGGGTGATGTGGGTTCTGGAACTAAGACCCCCCCACACCAGACTTCTCATACTGACTCTCTGTGACTGACAGTCTGTGGCACCCATTAAATCAGGCAAGGGCTGTCGTGAGCATTGATTGATGTCTTTGCCTGGGTATTTCGTTCTGCAGGTGCCTTATTAAGTGGCTAGAAGTTCGGAAAGTATGTCCCCTGTGCAACATGCCAGTTCTTCAGCTGGCCCAGTTGCATAGTAAGCAGGACCGTGGCCTCCCCCAGGTCCCCCTGCCCGGAGCAGAGAACATTGTATAGCTTGCTGCAAGGATCAGACTGTTGCTGGACACCTCAGCATGGAGCCAGGAGGAACACAAGCAGACTGTCTACTGCTCTTTGCCTGGGGCACCCACGTTACTTCCTTTGCCTCAAGAAGAAATCTTGAGCTGGCCATGCTGAGAACCTAGGCATCTGGATCTTGTGACAACCAAAGCACTCTGAGACTACCCCATTTCAAGAGGAGCAGATGAGCCTGCAGGTTTGGTTCTGGAAACTTCCTTGCTAGCTCCGTTACACTGTCTCCCAGAAACCTCCATGTCTAACAGAAGATAAACCCAGGTGTTAGGGAAGGGAGCTGAGAGTGTGTCTTTGACACCACACCCACCTGTGGACGATAAGCTGCTGCTCAGACCTCATCTGTCTTTTTAGCTGCAGATCATCCTGGCATCCTGAGCCAAGTGAAACCAGCTGCTCCATCAGCTGAAGCACAGGTGGTTGCTAGCACTTGGTGAGGCAATGTCCCTGAGGTCTCTTAAGTTCCTTTGATAAGGCCATCTTGGAACCTGAGGGCTTTGGATGTAACAGCAGCTGTACCCACCCACACACACACACACCAGTTCACACTTATCACCTAATCTGAAAGTATTAGACACATTTGAAAAGGCTTGGTCAGAAGCTATTTCCTCTATTTCCCTTCTATCCATAAATAAGACCCATAAGGAGCCCCAGCAAGAACTAGACCCTAAACCTCCCACTGTCCCTTGTGACCCAGAGGGCCCCAAGGTACTGCCCATGTCCCAAGTGCAGTCTGGTTCCATTGTAGCTGCTGGCCTCAGTCCACTGGCTGAGGAGGAGCCTCTTGGAGCCTCTCAGATGGCTGCAATGAGCAACACCTTTTTGTAAGGCCAGTCTTCCTGACCTAGCTGGATGAAGAGGATGCTGACTTCTCCCCTTCTTCCCTTTACTCTCTCCTGTTCTGTTTCTACATAAGAAAAATGTCTTACTCATTTTTAACCATTTATCCCAAATAAGTTTCCTGTAATTCTGAAGCCTGAAGTCAGTGAGCCACTTGAAGTTGTAAACAGTTTCAGGATGCTCCTACAGGGCCGTCCTATTGGTGTGTGTCTCCGTTATTTGGACTCAAGATCACTAACTGAAGTGTCTTTATACAAGAGAATGCATGCTGTTCTTTGGCTCTTTTCTATCCAACTTTTCTAGAAGTGACTGAGTCCACTAGGATCTCTGAATACCGTGCAAATTAGTCATGTAAAGCACCATGGAGACAGAACATTCTTTCCGCATCTTGCTCTCCCTCATCACAACATACCTGCTGCAACGCCTCATCTACTGCTTTGCTCTGCTCCATCCCACAGGTGTGAGGAAGTTTTCACAGGAAGTACAGCCTTCGAGACACGGAGAGGATGGAGGGGCTTTGTTACCCTGCTCATGGCATGTCTCTACCATCTTAGAATGAGAGGTTGCTAAGGTCAGATAAGAAAATTCCTATTTGCCTAAAAACTGAGAAGGCTACGTGTGCATGCCTGTGATCCCAGCACTTGGGCAGCCAAGGTAGGCAGCATCACTAATTTGAAACCAGGCTTAGCTTCACAGTGAGATCCTGTTTCAGAAAAATAAGGAAGTTCTGGGCAGATTCCATTTTGGACAATTTACAAATTCAGTTGGTGAGAATTGCTTGTTTCCAATATGTGGGCTATTTGTGGCATGTCAAATGGACTCCTTCCTCCACAGAGCAAGAGTATGAGCTTTTTATATGAATACCTTAGCCTGACTGGCCCCAAGAACTCTTCCTACACGCCTGTGTTCCCCATCTTCCTGTGTTGTTTGTAGCATGAGACTTTAATGCCAAAACACTCAGTTTACAGTGAATTATTTTTGATGACCAATGCCAAAAGTGGGCTTGCTTCTGGCCTAAGCCTTGTTAATGACCATCATCTGGCACACAGCCTTGGGACAAATGTCACCTTTTGTTATGGGGATCCAATAGAAAAGATGCCCCCCCTAAGATTTTCATATGATTAATACTATTACCACTCCTAGCATTTCAGCTGCAGCCTTTTCTGTCCGTCCTCATCTCAATATTGTCAGCCTCACCAATGTTCCTGTATTTGTACAGAAGCAAAACTCATCAGAGCTCCAACCTCCAAGCAGGTTTAGGTGATTGGTATGCAGCCTGGGCAGTCAGTGGAGGAAGCACAGAACTACTTTGTGCTCTGCACCAGAACCCCCATTCTGCTGGGCCTGATGAGGTCCCCTTACCTTGCTGCTCAGCACTTTTTTATGTGTGCTTCCTAAGAAAACATTCCTTGGTCTGGAAGCTGCTGCTATGCAAAAATGTCCTCTCCCCTTCTCTGGGTTAGGGTGGCCACACCAACCAGACATTGTGCTCCTTGGTATTTGGGCCCCTACCAGTGTTGCACTGCTGGGTGAGGCATTGTTGGCTTGGGCCAAAACCTAGTGAGGCCACCCTTTCCATATCATCTTCATGGATTCTGGTCTGCTTTTGGACCATGGGCTGCTGTGTCTTAGGTAGCCAAAAAATTAGATGTCACTTATGGACCATAAGTTAATGGAGTACAACTCAACCCTAACCAGACTTCATTGGCTAAATCATTATCTTGGTTTTCTGGGAGACAATTGGGTATTCAGCTGGCTTTAGAAGTGGAACAAACCTAGCCTGATTTGATTCCTGGTTGGGTCGACATAAGTTGACATCTGCTGCTTCTTTGCCAAATACAAGTGTGGCCTATCCCATTAAGGTTCTTATGGCCCACTTGTCTAGCCAGGGAGCAAGACAAAACAGCCAGGTGGGAACAGATGGCCTCTGGGGCAAGGTCTGTATTGAGGAATACAGGGGACCTCCCCCAGTTGCCACATTCTCTTCTTGATGAGACTTGAGTTCCATCCACTCAAATGCATGCCACCTCTGGTTTACTCTGAAGTTGTGAACTGTTATCACATTTTGAGAGCAGTTCTGGGAATGTTGAGGTGCCCATGGGGTTTCCCAGAACTCTAGCCAGAGTGCTGGTAGTACTGCAAATTGGTTCCTTCCCACTTCCTTGCCTTCTGCATCTCTGCAAGTTAGCTTCTCAAAGCCACCACCCAGGACTTCTAGAAACAAGGCTCTTAGAGGACATGCCAGTCCACTCTAGTGAGCACAGACCTGAGGGCCCTGCAACTGCTAATTGCACATACCCTGGTCATAGGCTCAATAGCCTCCTGAGCTGTGGGGGCTTTCCCTAGGCCTAGCCCCTCCCCCTTCTTGTGATCAGCCTTTGCTTGACTTGGCTGGTCAATGTCCGGTCTTCCTTAGACTTTTCAAGTAAATAATCCTTCACAGGATTGACACATAATTCTTTTCTGCACTCTTTATCCTATGAACATTCACAAGTTGTTCCTTTTGTCTCCTTTCAGGGCTTTGTGCACACACACATTTGTGTGAGATAGAGGGAGAGGAAATCTTCCTTTTTTATGTGGAAAGGGCCAACCCAGAAATCAGCTGTCTGTAAAAGGTGAACCCAGAATTGCAGGTTGTTTTTGTATCACATTCCTTTTGAAAAAGATGTTTTACTCAGTTACAACATACTGAATTCTTCCCTCCTTTATGAATCAGAAACTGCAATCTCACCCTTTACCATAATACTATTTTCTCCCAGCCCTAAGCAGTCTCTGCAGGTGCCTGAAGAAGCTGCCACCTTTCTCTCACCTGCTCCACTTGAGTGTCCACTGGGGCAGTATGGCTACCACTTAGTCCTTTAGATGGTGCCAGTATATTTGAGCAGCAACAACTGAAAGCTTGTATCAAGTCCCCAGGACTAAGTACACCTAATGTTCCCAAGCCCCCTTTAGATGCACTTCTAGAAGCAAGTGCATCCTACAGAATTTCCTGTCACCCAACTTTATGGTTAACAGCACTCACTAGATAACTGTCCTCCACCCCTTAAGCTCATTTTTGCCCTGCCAAGATGGAAACTGTGAAGCTCCTTCCTTCCGGCAGCTGTCAGGGGAGCACAGGTGTGTGCCTTGTTCTCCAGCTGCACGCAGCCCGAAGTCTTCACCCCCACCCACCTGCCTCCCTGTACCCGATCAGCAGCCCAGTGGGTCATATGTGCCTGTATTCAACCCAACTGGAGCATTGAAAATTGTGTGAAGCCCAACCTTCTGGCACTTGTAGAACCCCCTGGCCTTGGCCTTTCCCCTGCAGCTGTTAGGAATTCTCAGGAGACGGAGGCGTCCAAGGTCACAATGTCTAAACTCTGTTAGAGAATACCAAGTTCCTTAGTAAGATTAACAAAGGATGCAGTACATTTCTGATGGAAATACCTGTCAGTCTGTTTTCACATTTGGCTTTAGAACCCAAATTCTTGCAAGATGTTTTCATTCCACTACTAGAGTAAGGATCAGCACTGTTAAAGTCTACTAATGCAGTCCTTGTTCCTTTGGCAGTTGGGTCAGTGAAAATACCATTTCAAAGATACAGTATAACTCAGAATCTGGAACCCATCAGTGTCTACGGTCTTGTGCTCTCTAGAAACTTAGTGCCATTCTCCTCTGTCCATTCCTCTCAGCCCTGGTTAGAGTGGAGGAACAGGGCAGCCAGTGTTAAGTTCCTCTTGGTGATGGCCTGGTACCCCACATACAGTTATTTGCCTCTGGGTCTCTGGACAGGTCATGGCCAGGAAGGGAGGCACTTTTAGTCTTGTAGTTTAGCCCTTTGGGCCTTACTAGATATAACTCCCTCAAAATTAGGTTTATGAAATGCTGAGCCTCAGGTTTCATAGACGTGTTTGTACACTAAGAATTCTGCAGCAGAATATTTTTAAACATTGTTTTTTGTAAGCTATATTTTTGTATATTTAATTGCTATTTTAAAACTTAAGTGCATTTTTGCTAATCACTTGTTTAAAAATAAAACATGCATGTAATTGACTCAAACACATGTAAATAAAAAGATTTTGAAAATACTTCGTTATTATGTACCTGTTAACTTAAGCACTCGTGGCAAAACTCAGAAATCCATGGTGAGTGTTTCTGACCAATTAAAACTAGTCACAAAGGAGCAGGTAACTGACAGAACAGCCTCTGGCCTGTCCCCTCCTATAGTGTAGGGCAGACTGGCCATGAGAAGAGCGTAAGACCTCAGGGAAGAGGCCAAGGCCCCACAACCACCTCAATTGAGATTGCCAGCACTTGGGGCAACTTTGTCCCTTGATAGCTCCTAATACTCCCAGAATTGCCTCATCCCCAACCCTCAAAACCTTGGTCCAAAATTCTGTGAACATGGCCACTATGGCTTTCCTCACACCTCACCATTCACAGACCTCTGCAGCTCAGCTTCAGCCTGTAATTTTATCAAAGCCACTCATAACCTTGCAGCTAAATCTAGAAAAATACCCTCAGTCTCCCCTCTTCCCAGCTTGTTTTCCTTCACTACCCACTTGTTTCCTCATACACTGGGACCTGACTCCCCTCACTTTCCTACCTACATACACATCCTTGTCCTAAGCTTCATCTCCAATCCAAACATCCTTATGCTTTGGGGTCTCAAAATGAGGCACTCTAAAACCAAATCAAGGCACCCTCAGTAACTCTCAGCCCTCACCCTCCAGCCATTGTGGCCCAACACAGCCCACAAAACACTTCCTCTCTACACTGGCTAGCCTCTCTTCCTCCTATCTTATTTCAGACCACTTTGCTCTGTGCTCCTTGGCCACAAGGCCTCCTTAACTGCCTGAGTGGGAGGAGTGAATGAAGTAGGGCTTCCAGGCCACCAAAGAGAAGGCAGCTTGCACTAGGCAACTGCTGAAATAATCACATTGGCCACTGGAAAGCCTGTGGGTTCGGCTGAAGCTCAGAAGCGAGGGCTGGCTGGGGTGCTCCCTTGGAGATCAGTCAAGGTGAGAGTTGATGAAGCTTGGGGAGATACAGGATTGAGCCTGAGGGTGGAACTAGCACAGAGTAAGTTGGAGAACAGCACCACTCTTGGAGACAGGGGAGCAGGTTAGAACTGAAGATGAACCCCCGAAACACCCGCTGTATTTACAATGGGGTTACTGGTGGTGCATGACTGTAATCCCAGCACTGCAGAGGTAGAAGGATCAGGAGTTCAAGGCCAGCACCAGCAATACTACAATCCAAGTTGTGTTGCCCGAGCTACATGAGATCCTGGAAGGAAGGGGGTAGAATACCCTTCCAAGGAATGACAGTGGGCTGAGCACAATGTGGAAAAAGGAAATGGCGCTGCTTCTCTAGTGGAGAGTAGTGGGCACAGGGAGGAAATGTGCCCAGAGAACCCCCAGAATGGCTGCTCTCTGTTTCCAACTGTGTGAGCTTGAGCAAGTTCTCTACCACAGGGACTTGGATGGAAGGACACACACAGACCACTGGTCACAACCTTCAGACAACTAGGGGAAAGGCAAAACAACACAGGTGCTTGTCAGGCCAGTAGAAGTTCACGGGAGTCACCTGCCACAGATCAAGAACTACTTCCTGGAACTAACAGGTGGGTGGCAGTGCCACCTTTGGGGGAGCAGAGATACAAATCTGAGGTCCTAACGCAGGTGAGTCAGAAATGGTAGCAGTGGGGAAGGACTGCCATCCTCACAGCACCCCTGTGCACTGCTGTCTATGACCAGACAGTCCAGTAGCACCCACATAGTCAATGTGCCAAAGCACAGGCTGAAAGGCAGCGGTCCCTCTGAGAATGTTCCCAAGTCCATCCCTAAGCTCCTGGCCCAAACAGCAGGAACCCTCTGCTGCCCTTACAAAGCCAGCATCAGAACCCACAGCTGAAAGGCTGTGGGTCCTTCGAGCAGCAAGGCTGCTTTGTACGGGTCCTTCCTTGCCTTCAGCTCCAATGCAAGCATATTTTAATACGTAAGATAATCAAAGCAGGAAATGCTTTTAAAAATCATTCTGCAAGCAGGGTTGGGGATTTAGCTCAGTGGTAGAGCGCTTGCCTAGCAAACCCAAGGCCCTGGGTTCGGTCCTCAGCTCCGAGGAGGAAAAAAAAATTATTCTGCACAGCAGAAAGATTCAGCCTGTCAGTCTCAAGTAGTCTTCTGAAACATCTTTTCACAAGTTCCCCAAACACTAGCATGTTCAAGGACCCCACGAGTTATTCAATGAACACTTGTATTCCTCCTGTGCTACTCAGCCTGAAAGGATAATCACTCTCTTCTTGACAACAGCCCTTAGGCTATTCTCACAATAGCCTGCCCATTTCCATCAGGTTCCAACAGAAGTTATGTCTTTCCACACAGACCTGAGGATTAACAGTGAAAAGGTGCAAGTGCTCTTCCAAAATTCACTTGTCAAGTGTCAGATGCAAAATGAACCCGCCCAGTTAAGTCTGCAGAACCTTGAAATAAACGGCATTTCAGTACGTTAACAAAGAGGCTAAATGCCAACTAGAGTAATGCACAGATCTCTCAGGGCACAATGACAAAACTGGTTAGATTCTAACTGCACTGCATTCAGCAAGTTTAAACAAAGACACACAACCAGTCAACTGAGAGCAGGAGTGCAGTACAGCTCTCCCAGTGTGCCTCCAGTAAGTGATGCCGGAATTTCAAAGCACTGCAGGTTTGATGCTATCCTGAAGAGCGGTTTATAGACAGCACATCTTCACACTGCCTGGACATCATCTACTTTTGTTCTTTAATATTTTTCCTTACTGGTTGCTAGGCTAGACTGAATTTTTAAGAATTTATCTTGATGACTTAGAAAAGTACACTTGTTTCTTGCTCTGATTCAGGCAGTACACGATCGTAAAACTTGAGTCTCTTAAAAAATAAACGTCTATGGATCCCACTGTGGAGGGTTTGAGTCAGAAGCCCTCTGGGTAAAATCAGGGTATCTTCAACAGCTCAAGGAGTGCTCCAACGGCTCCAAAATAACCCTGAAAAACAATATACCACAGGTAAGATGATTCATTATTTTAATTGTGTGTGTGTGTGTGTGTGTGTGTGTATTTGTGTGTCTCTGTGTGGGAATGTGCCCATAAGTGCAGGTACTCAAGAGACCTGAGGCATTGGATCACCCTGGAACTGGAGTTGTAGACAACTGTCTGGGTGGGTGCTGGGATCCAAAGTCAGTTCCTTTCCAAGAGCAGTATGTACTCTTAACTATGATTACTTATATTAAAGCCAGCAAGGCCCTTAACTCCTGATCCATTTCTTGAGTGCAGGGAGCATACCCTGACTGGAAAAGAAGCCTGGACAACTCCCTAGCAGGGAAGGGCTGGCGGTAACAAGATACCTGACCAGCAAAACATGCAGAGTGGGCCCTATACCAGCTCTGAGGGAGGAGAGGCTAAGTTCTGGAAGGGATGGTGCCTGGCCTATCGTGGCAGAGTAAGGAAGGGGCAGCAGCAAAGGCCTGGTACACTTCCACCAACCAAGGATCAAAGGTAAAAAGGAATACTTAAGTTTTAGTCACAGAGGGCAGATGGTCTGAAAAAGATCTGGAAACAGACACCACTGCTAAGACTGGGAACACAGGGACAAGAGATGTGAAGAGTAAGCTGGGAAAGGGGAAGGAAGAGCAGCTGCAGCAAGCAATGTTCAAGCAGTCACTGTTCACTGGACCAGAGGGAAAAATACAGTAATGACCTACATGCCTGATGACACGTGGAGAGGTGGGCAGATCCAGGCAAAGTCTGTGGAAGGATTGCGGGGGGGTTGGTTCAAATAAGAACACAGAAACCAAACCAGAAAAGATGAAAAAAAATTAAAAGAAAGCCAGGTGTGGTGCACCTTTAGTCACAGAAGGCAGAAGGCAGAGGCAGGTGGACCTCTGAGTTCAAGGCCAGCCTGGTCTACATAGTAAGTTCCAGGACAGCTGGGGCTACAGGGAGACCCTGTCTCAGAAAGACCTAAAAACACAAAACCCTCAGTGACAGAATGGCAGGAGAAATCCAAAGAATCACAGGAAGAACAGAAGGCACCAAGGTCTCCAAAGCAGGAGGCTGACTAAGAAAGTCTGGGTGTGGCTCAGAGAGAGCATTTGCTCAGCATATGCAAGGCTTCAGGTTCCATCCCCAGCACCACCAAAAGAACTCAAAAAAGGAACAAAGGAAGAGCCTCAAAGACCTGGCGGGAGACTCTAAAGAACACACTAAATAACTAGCAAGGTCCCTGAGCCTCTATTTCTCGGTTTAAAAGAGGGTGGAGCACTATCTACATTATGAGGATGCAAACTAGGAGAAACCCAGTGAAGACACTTGGCAACACTCAGGAGCCCATCACACCAAACCCAATGGCACTTGCAGCTCTACTGTAGCTTCCTGTGCCTGTGCTTCGTTTTATAACAACAAGAAGGGAAGTGACGGGAAGTGGGAGGTGGAGGGAGAGGAAGGAGAGATAGATGACGTAGACCAAATTAACCATTCCACTGAGATCCACTGAACACCCAATACTGACGACAGCCTATAGAGGGTTATCGTGGAAAGAATTAAGGATGAAAGGGAAAGTTTGAGAAGACCGTACACCAAGCCTCCACACTGTCAAGCCAAATGCCTTAATGCACAAGGGCAGGTGAATATTTCATAAACCAGGACTAAAACAATGAATGGCAAGGGAAGAGATCAGCACACAAGTCAGAAGCCTGGCTATAAGCAAAGAAGCTAGGAACAAATGACCCAGGCTAAGCAAAAGGAAAAAGAAAAGTCAGCAAGCAAAACAGAAGTACGGAAGTTGTGACTACAGGTTGAACTTCCCTTTATCCGAAATGCTTGAGACCAGAAGTGGTTATGGTTTTAAAGTTTTTTGGATTTTTTTTTTTGGGTCTTTTTGAGACAGGGTCTCCCTGTAGCCCCAGCTGGCCTGGAACTCAACAGAAATCCACCTGCCTCTAGGACTAAAAGCGTGTGGGTTTTGTTTTTTGTCTTTTTTTTGAGACAAGGTCTCCTTGTAGCCCAGCTATCCTGGAACTCACTATGTAGACCAGGCTGGCCTCGAACTCACAACAAAGATCCACCTGCCTCTGCCTCCCAAGTGCTGGGATTAAAGGTGCACACCACCACGCCCGGTGGGTGTTTGTTTTTTTTTTTTTTAATATTTTATTTATATTTTAGGGCTGGAGAGGTGGCTCAGCGGTTAAGAACGCTGGTTGTTCTTGCAGAAGACCAAGGTTCGAATCCCAGCACCCACAATGTCAGCTAATAACTGTCCTTAACTCCAGTCCCAGGGGATCCAACAGCCTCTTCTGACCTCCACAGCATTGCACGACATGGGTGCACTCATATACATGCAGGCAATATACACATACAAATAAAATAAAAATTGTCATGCAATCAGATCCCCTAGGACTGGAGTTACAGACAGTTGTTAGCTGACATTATGGGTGTTGGGATTTGAACTCAGGTCTTCTGCAAGAACAACCACTGTTCTTAACCGCTGAACCATCTCTCTAGTTCCGAGTGCGGATTTTTAAAGTACCTACATAGATTAATCCAGAAACCTCATCGGCACTCAGTTTCAGATTTCCTAACCAGAGATCTTCAACCTATATAAATTGGAAGACGGGGATATTATTGTAAAAAAAAAAAAAAAAATCAGTCTTCACATTTTGCCTAGCAAAAGGTTCAAAAGGTAGAAAATGTGCAGGGTATGGTGGCACGCACTTTTGATCCCAGCACTTGGGAGGAGGCAGGAGAATCACTATAAGTTCAAGGTCAGCCTGGCATATGTAGTGATTTCCAGACCAACCTGAGCTACATAGTGAGACCCTGTCTCAAATTTAAAAAAAAAAAAAAAAAAAAAAAAAGGCTGGCAGCTGGGAATGGTGGCATACACCTTTAATCCCAGCACTTGGGAGGCAGAGGCAGGCAGATCTCTGTGAGTTCAAGGCCAGCCTGGTCTACACAGCGAGTTCCAGGACAGCTTGGGGCTACAGGGAGACCCTGTCTCAAAAAGACAAAAAATAAAAAATAAAAATAAAAAAAGGCTGGTGAGATAACTCAGACCCACAAGATATAGAGTAGACTCTGAAAAGTTGTCCTGACCTCCACACAGCATGAATACGCCCATACACATAATGCACACACAAACGCCA